GGTCTCGAGACCAAGACCGATCTCGAGTACCACAACACTGGTGTATGCTGTGAATCAGGATGGCATTACCAACACAAAATGTGCCTCTGTTTGCGTTTCTGCAGGTGATGGAGGATATGGCTACCTTAAAGACTGGCTGTGGTGGGGAGGCCTGTTGACCAGTAAGAACTTCACTGTAGAAACCTTTTACAGTTGCAACCTCTGTGTGATTGAAACAAAAACCCCAAGAATGGTTGTTTACTGTGCATCTTAGTCAAGGGGAGAAGGGAAAAAGATAATTTAGCTTTTAATAGTTCAGTTTGGAAACTGGCTTAAATTATATGAGTAGAACTTTAGAAAAGGAACCATGCATGGGATTAAACTAAACCAAAATGGAAAAAGGTTCTAATAGATTCAATAGAGAAAGTAGCAGACACATGCTGCTGAATAACTGCTTTGATAATAAATTGCATCTTAGTCAAGGGGAGAAGGGAAAAAGATAATTTAGCTTTTAAAAGGCAATAGATATCATCCAGAAATTACAATACTTGGTGTTCTTCAGGGTTTTAAAACTCAATGGCAATCATCTTAACATTACACAACCAATTTGAAATTTACACACTAAATTTAAATGTTAGTGTAAATAAATTTACACTAACATATTTATGTTAGTGTAAATGACACTAACATAATTAGTTATGTTAGTGTCATAACTAATTATGACACTAATTAGTTATGTGTCATAACTAATTAGTGTTATGTTATGACACAACATAATTATGTTAACATAACATAACATTATGTTATGTTAGTGTAACATAATTACACTAACATAATTATGTTAGTGTAAATGATTTATTTTGATTGATTGATGATTTATTCTGGAATATTGAGCCACATCCACTAACAAAGGAGAAAAAAGTACATATGCAGGCCTCACCTTTCCATAAGCAGTAGAAAACTGTCAGATATTTACACAAATATCTCATATTACGTGAAATATTTACGTGTTTTAACATTTAATGAAATGCGTATATTTTTCCGGGCAGTTCCTGTAACATGGCTGCATACCAGGAAAAGGCATTGATCGTTATCTTCATCTTCCTCTTTTGCACTAAGACCACAAAACTTGTCGTCTTGAGAGTCGGAACAATCTCACACACACTTTGTTTTCTTATTACAAATTTTGTTGTCGCTCTCGGTGTGTCTTCATCTTTAGGCAAATTTGCTCTTGAGCTTCTGCTGTCCTCTTCATCATGATGCATTCAGCAGTCCAACCTTTCAAATTCTGTTGGTAAAACCTGTGTATTTAGCCACACTGCAGTGTTTAAAGTGTGTCTAAAAAGAAAAAAAGGCAGTAGATATAATCCAGAAATTACAATACTTGGTGTTCTTCAGGGTTTTAAAACTCGATGGCAATCATCTTAACATTAAGCCACCAAAAAATGGTAAACATGCACAGATTTTCTGTAGCAGGTTGCCTTTGTTGGCTCTTAAATTTGTGCACTTATTTATTACATTTTCATTATTATTAATTGTTGCTAGTAAATGAGATGTCAAAAATTCAAATTCTATTTGTCCTTATCAATGTCTTTAGTTTAATTCACTGAATTTCAATCACATTTCTGAGCAGCTTGATGGCATTCTCAAGAGCTAATGAGGGGATGACCTACAACTACAAAAAGGGAAAAAAACTAGAATATTGCTTGTTTCTGTATTGTAAAAGTTGACTGGTGAGCATCTGTCCTGTGCGTGTGTATGTTCTCCGTCTGCAGTGGGAGCCGGAGAGGTGTGTAATTTTGCTGCCTACATGTTCGCGCCAGCCACACTGGTGACTCCCCTGGGAGCGCTCAGTGTCCTCATCAGGTAGCTGCATGCTTCCACACAGCCGCCGTCTTCTGAGGACATGTTGATGTGTTTTTAGTGATGTCATACTGGTCTGTGTTTTTAAGTGCGGTTCTCTCCTCCCACCTGTTGGGGGAGCAGTTGAATGTGGTGGGGAAGCTGGGCTGTCTGCTGTGTGTACTCGGGAGCATTCTGTTGGTCATTCATGCCCCACAAGAACAAGAAGTCACATCAATACAGGATATGACCAATAAGCTGCTGGAGCCAGGTGAGAGGAGAGTCCAACAACTCATCCAGACATGCTACTTGATATGCTCCAAAATATAACATTGCATTCTTAAATATAATTAATTTTATCAATCAAATCTGTTTTTATTCATATACAGCATAAATGTTAAAAATGATAACATTTTATGAATTACTCTTCGAAAACAGAGTAAGCTATAATATTTCAAGTTTAATAGGTCCACTTATCAAAAACAATCTACCACAACTGTGATTATGCTCATGATGTGACCCAAAAAGAAAATGAGTTTGACACCCCTGGTTTTTTTACTTTTTTATTATTATTTTGTTACTAACTCAAAGTTGGTTTATATGCAAGCTTCATTTGAATAGAACAATAAATTCTTTGAGTTTTTGTTTATCTGTGTTTGCCACTCTGCTTGCCTGTACCAGGTTTCCTGGTCTATGTTGTGGCGGTGTTGGTTCTGTGTGCGGTTCTGGTGTTGTATTTCTGTCCGCGGTCCGGTCGTTCCAACATCCTGATCTACATCGGCATCTGCTCGTTGCTGGGAGCCTTCACTGTATCATCTGTGAAGGGCCTCGCCATAGCCATCAACACCGGTGAGATGCCGCAGACGGCAACATGCTTCATTTTACTCAACAGTCTGAAGGCTGTAAACATTTTCAGTTCAGCTAAAGTTTTCCTTTAGCTGAATTACACAGAACCACTGCTGTGAACCCTTATAATTTGTTTTTCCTCTGCTCAGTGGTTTATGACATCTCTGTGCTCAGCCAGCCTCTTACGTGGATCCTGCTCCTCACCCTCATTGTTTCAATAGTAACACAGGTAAGCTGGGCTCAGAAAAATTGGCACTGCAAATTACAGGCTGGAAAGGATTTGGTATCTTGGTACCATATACATTAGTAATGCATAATGCAATATCTGGTTGCTGTAAACCATGAATAATCATGAATACGTTAAAATCATTTGTTTTTATTTTGGTTCTGATCTTAATGATCAATCAAAATAACTTTGGGCCCCGTCCTCCTGATAGATGTAATTTACTGGCTCACAAAAGTATATTTTCTGAGAATAGACTAAGAGTGTTTTCACACCTGGTAGTCCAGTAGACTTGGTTCAGCTGGTGACCATCCATTGTGTCAAATGATCCAGACCGTTCCTTCACTTCCTTCTTCACAAAGTGTAGATAAAAATAGTGAAGTCTGATTTCAGCAGTTGGAGGTTTTCTCTTTTGTCTGTCACAATATGCCAAACAAACACCCTTCAACAATGGGCTTAGCTAAAAATGTATGCAAGAAATAGGCACTTGCTTTAGGTGTATTCTCCCAGAATGCCCTTGCTACTGTCTGCTTGTTGCTTTTGGAGTGGTCTCCGGTTTGCTTGACATTCACATATGCATCCAAGTCCAACTTGAGTTTGCTTCAACCAAATCCAGACCCAAGTTTTTAGATGCACCAGAGTTTGCTTTTCTGGTCCACATCAGAGTTTGATTGTACATTCACCACCTCCCCAAACGAACTTCACTTTCTAGACAAACTAACTAGAGTTGGATTGAAGCAGACTAAACAGGGCTGGTCTTAATGCACCTTAAGTGTCTTCTTAAGGTGCATTAAGACCAGCCCTGTTTAGTCTGCTTCAACTACCTCATACAGGAAGTTTCATACTGGCCACTCATAACAATATTTATAACAATAGTCTTATTGTTATAAATGATCAATTATGAGTGGCCAGTATGAAACTTCCTCTGATAGACATCTTCATTTCATACCCTCAAAAGTCTTGTTAAAAAAGACTAACCTTAAAAAAGTCTAAAACAGCTTTGGGACAGAAAGGCCCTCTTATACATGGAGAGAGCACAAGACCCCAAACACAAACCCAAACGTTTGTGTTTGTCATGTGGCCGGGAGACCCATTGATGAGTCTGAAGTCACCTTTGTGTCTGTGCAGGTGAACTACCTTAACAAGTCTCTGGACACCTTCAACACCCTACTGGTGTATCCTATCTACTACGTCCTCTTCACCTCTGTGGTCCTTTCCACCTCCATCATCCTCTTCCAGGAGTGGAGCAGCATGTCTGCCGTGGATGTGGTCACAACGCTGGGCTCGTTCCTGGTCATTGTGGTGGGCGTGGCCTTGCTGCACCTGTTCAGGGAGCTGCAGGTGGGCATTCCTTCCCCCCTAACATCCCTCCTCAGATGAACAAAAGCTTTTCTTCTTATTTTTTGCTAATAAAAATACAACAATGCAACCTCATACAAGAATCTGACGTTTGATTTCTCTTAATGCAGATTACAATGAAGCAGCTGACCAATCAGCTTTCTCAGCCAGTGGAGAGGGAGGGACTTACAGAAGAGGTCACAACCAATGGAAGAGGAGGAAGGAATAAAAAGGAGGATAAATATGGACTGATGGACAATGTAGTGATAGAAAGTCTGCCTCCTATGAGAGAGGAGGGACCCAGAGTCTTTATAATCAGCTGAAAAAGAGAATTCCAGAAGTTTCTGTATTGTTGCTGATATTTCCTGCACTTTTTCAAACTTTAGCCGCCATCTCAGTTTATGCTTTAGGTCCCTCCAATCTCGCATGGCGGTATTCAACGGTACAGCACTAGTCGACCTTTCTAATTTATAAATATTTAAGAAATCTTGCCTGTAAGTACCAATTTAGTAGAAGGTTCAAATAATTTATTGGAAATAAGTACTTTAGAGCCCACACAAAATATGCCATCCAAGGAATAATAAATAAGACAAGTCGACAGAAAACAAGAAAATCCAAAACATGTATCAAAGTTTACCATCAAACTGGTTAGTTAAATAATGTCAAACTGCTCCTCAGAGCCGTCATTAACTTTGAACATTTTAAAGATTTTATTCTTTTTGATCATACGAGTCGACGACATTAAATTATCAGATGAGTTGGTGTCCTCCGTTAGACTGATGGACTCCAAACTGGCTCTGCCTCTTTCACAGGAGTTTTTCCATGATGTCATAAATCATCAGCTGGACTGGCTGAGTCCCAAGAAGATGTTAATTTAAAAGACCATCATGGCACCAAAGAAGGTTCTTTTTGCAGTTGACCTTTTCCCCCTAATATCTTTTTCAAAGTTTTTGTGCTACTAGTGGCCTTTATTAAACAGTAGAAAAGGCAGAGACTAAATAAATTAAAAAGTCAAATGTAATTTTAAATATTCTTTTAAATTGGTGATTATCTACATTTGCTGTGACAACTTGTCATAGGAGGAGGTTCACATTTTCATTTTATCTGTTTTAAACAGACATAGTGTCCTAATTTATTCATCGTAAGAAAGATGGTATTAGTTTAACAGGAAGCCTTTTTAATCACTTAATCACCATTTTTCAAGGCTATCTTTTATTTGGGTGTTGTGTTATGCTCTGTGTGGCCTGATTATTGGAAACAAGGAAAACAAAATAAGATTTTGCATGAAGAAGTGCAGCACACTGTGCTGCTTTCAAAATGAACAGCCAAACTTTACCTTTACTGGACTGGTTAGAAGACTCTTCTCTTTCGTATGATTACCTACCATTCCAAATATTAGCTCTACTACTACCTTGCTTAGCAACTCTGAGGTCTATGAAGTGTGGGTCTGCTTTCCCTGCTGTTTCTTTGAAAACCCTTAAAAAAAACTGAGATGGAAGACATCTCAGCTTCTGCTTGAAGTGTTTGGTGACTGAAACTAGTTTCTTTCAGCTAAAGTTGTAAACATTCATTTAGTGTCTTATTATTTTATGTGTTAAAATTACAATTGAGGTACTAATTAAAAGATATCCCACAAATGGCTCTTAACCACACCGAATGTCAGACAACTGGAACACTGACTTAGAAGAAAATGTCGCTTGACCTCTACTGCATCTCAGTAGAGGGACATAGACACTAGGCCTTGAAGAATTAAATTGATTCATCTTATCAATTTTTTTCTAATTTTTTTCTAGTCAGCAAAAAAAAAATTCCATTCTGCAGATTTTTCATTTAACTATTTTGTGCTTTTGTACAATACTAAATACATTAAAATATGCAAATGAACAACTCAGTTACGCAGTGGCGGAACAAGTTGGCGTCAGGCCGGGGGGCGGGGCTAATGACCGGGCCCTTTATACCCAAAATAACAAAGCTCATGAAAACATAATTTTATAAAGTACTAATAAAAGCCACTCATATTTGTCGTAAAAATACTCCAATCTACCTAGTTTATAATCCGTTCCCAAGTATCTGACTGATGTGGATGGTTGGTGATGTGTTTTACCCAGAATACACTTGGAGACAATATTGGCGATCAACTTGTAAATTTGTGTGTCATAAAGTTAAATGTAAGAATGAAAATAAAGCCAGTCATGTCGCACAACATTTTATTCAATATTTTACACCCACTATGTCACTAAAATCAGTCGGTCTTGCAAAGTTTTTAGCAATCATGAGTCAACAATGACTGGGGCAGCCTACTATATAATCTACTGGGGAACCCAGCTTTATAATCTACATGCACCACACTCAACAGGAGAGGGCCCACCTTCTCCAGTTCTCATCAGACGTGATACAGACTTGGATCTTTTAAATCATATTCTGCCTCCCATCCGGGCCCCTCCCCAGGCCTGGGCCAGGGGGCCACCGCCCCCCCAGGCCTCCATATAGCTGCGCCCCTGCAATTACGTTTTAATATTTTCTGCCTAAAATACAATGCAGTGTATTTTTTTACAGTTTTGACTGTTCCTTCAGAAAAATGACCTTTCTTTGAAAGCATGTAGTCCAGTTAACTGGATTACTAAATTAGTTGATTATTTCATTAATCAATTGATCATGATTAATTTGATGTATCAATTCAGCCCTAAGGCATAATATTGTCATTTTCTTTGTATTTCCACTTCTGAAATGCTAAACAGCAACAAAACTTGAGGGTTTGAAGAAATTTAACCATTTTCTTCCAAAAATAATCGTCCATTTCACTTTGCTTTCAGAAATAGGTGAACCCCCCCCGCCCCCCATCAGTGCTTGTGTAAATGGAAGATAGTTTCTATGTGCTGAATTATCTTTTGCTTTGAAAAGGTGGATGAATTTAATTACACAATATGATCAATATGTGATTAATCTGAAAAAATGCAATATTAACATTTTGAAAAATATATTTAGTATACCGAACTGTCAAATAATCCTGACAGTTGAGGAAGCTGTTTAGTTTTCAAAATGAGACTCAACACCTCACCTTTGTGCAGATTCTCTTACTGAAACAACTCAAGAATTTATATCAAGACAATCAGCAATTGATTTGAATGAAGCTTATTTAATGAAAACTTAGCGATAATTTTTTTATACATTTTTGTGGTTTAGATTTATCTAAGTTGTAGAAGGAAGAAGTGCCTATTTATTTTCACCTTTGACTTTCAGTTGACAGAATTATTCTTTACATTAAATATTATATCTTAAAAAGGATACAATACATTTCAAAAGAATCCATAAACAACTGAAGCTTTAAACACAATCAAAATTAGCACCTTGGACATTTTTACTTGCTAAAATTGTCATTAAGAGTGAGTTTTAATTTTAATTAAGCTTGTCTATTTACTGATTTAAAAGTGTGCTGTTGTCACACCTGGGCCTCATCAGGTTGATCAACTGTGATCCCCCCTTGTGTTGCTGTCATCAGACTGTGGCATGAAGAAACACATTACTGATGATGAAATGTTTGATCAATTTGTCCTGAGGTCTCACTCTGCAGAGTTCCTCTGAGCTGAAGACTGGAGTAATGAAGCAGACAAAACTCAGGGTGAGTCTAACCTGCTAAATGTCGGTAGATCAAAAACAGTAGATCAAAATGTTGAAAGTGAGTGTTTGCTGCTGACATGTTTCAGTTTGTGAAGCTTAGAGGAACCAAAGAACAAATAAAATTTTTGTTTCAGAATTCGCCAAATTTTTTTTTCTTTTTTTCTCTCTTCCTGATCATTTCAATAAAAACAAAGTTCACTCACATTTAACTGACATTCCACTAACACCTAAGTTTTCTTTTCACTAAAGGAAAACTTAAGATAATGAATTTATCTAAATATCTTTTAGCTTCAGTTGGAGCTTTCTACTGTTTCCACCCCATATTATATTCAATATAATGTGACTATAAAATGTGACTTTTAAAATCTCATTAATGACAGAACCTGTTCTGTTCCTGACAAAAATCAGTGCATTTGTTGCCATATATGATTCTGAACAGTTGTTACCATGAAAAGTAAGTCAAAGAGAGGAATGGGTGGCTAAAGGGTGATTGTTCCATAATGTGATGGTACACAGAAACGATGTTTGAATATGTGAATCGTGGAAATGATTCACATAAAAAAAAAAACCTTTAAATTCATTAAATGCAGAGCACAATAACTATCAGAGCAGTTGCTGGTCGATATGAGCATCAGGTAATTTAATTGGTCCAGGTAACATTCAAGCCTGGACTCCAGGTCCAGTGAAAATGACAGAACAAAGTTGCTTATCTATTCAAATTCTTCATAATGAAATGATAAAGAAAAACTTACAAAACACTTGAACATTCTTTCAATTTAACAAGTGACATAGTTACAGACGCAATTTCAGTTTGCTGGTTCATCTCTTACAGGAATCCTCTAAGATTTGAACCTGAGTGTTCATAAATGAATTCATAAATCTGCTCTGCTCAAAGCAAAAATACAAAAATGTTGCTTCTCTACAGGTAGCAAGGTACAGCCATAAGCGATATCTTCATCACAATAGTCAAACATTTTACAATTATATTGCTTCCTACAATTGAGAATACATTTTCCCATTTTAAGGCTCCCTGGGGATTAAATTGTTTTAGTTCAGCAATAGGTAAAACCTTTAAGCCTGAAACTGTCCTTTCATTTCAAAAACAAGATTTTTTTTGCCATTATTATAGAAGTTTGAAAACATAAAACATTGTCATGAGAAGTTTGAACGTCATTATTTTTAGCTTCAATAAGGCAGACTGACTTAAACTTGTCTGATCTGTATCTGACATCACATACCTCACTTATCTCTCTGAGCAGCACAGATCACTTCAAGTCCTGCTGTGGGAAAAGCCTCTGCTGCTGTTGGTGTTCAGACAGAAACCTGTGAGGATAATTATCCTGCAGCATGGCTCATCCAGAGGTAGACCGTCAGACAGGAAACCAGGCTCTAGATGGTCCTCCGTCACTTTAGCACCTTCACTCTCAAGTTAAAGCCTGAGAAGGGATTTAAAGTGACTGGTTCACATCCAGTTCTCATCCTGAAAATCAGTCATTTATTCCTATCCAGTTGAAACTTAAAGAAATAATTTAAGGCTTATCCAAAGTATGCTGTGATGAACTATTCATAGAATATTTAGGTTGATATTATTTGGAAGTCTCGCATAAGGGCATTTCCTCCCCCAATACAATGAAATCATTCCAAATCAGATCCAATTAAAGAGTTCGATTAAACTTTTTTGTAATACATAAGATTCAGTTTATCAAATGCAGTTCCTTGATAAATTTTTATACTCCACACAGAAAAAAAGAGAACGGAGTGCTGACTTAAAAAAATTGAGTTCACTACATTTAATCAAATTAAGTTTGTCAAACTTAATTTATTTATGTTAAATTAAACTTAATATATTTAATTGGATAAACTGATTTTAATTACTTGTAACAAATGAACTCAGTGTTTTTAAGTTGAATCACCTGTTTTCTTTATTCAGTGCATGAACTTTGTCATGTCACAATTCCAAACTTTAATCTGTTTTATTAGAAATTTATGTGAATGTCTGAGACAAAGTGTTTGTGGAGAGAAAAGAAAAGAGTGACGTGTGCATCTTTTCAGCCCACTTTGATTTCCTAAATAAGATACAGTGCAGCTTTACAAGTCAGTTAATTCTCAGCATATTAACAGATTTTCTGTAAAGGCCTCCAGACTTGTTAGACAATTTTTGAAATTTGAAAAGGTTCAGGTTGTAAAACAATGTTCAACTAGTCTATAAGTTATGTGTTCTACAAATTATACCTTTATACAAAAGGTACAAAGAAAGTAGAGTTTAAAATGTTATAAGAGGGACACAGTCAACATGAGAAAAATGTGTTTTGATCAGATGAGAACAAATCTACAGTCAGAACTATGATGGAATAGTTTAAAGAATATTATATCAAACATTGGTTGTGATATTTTATTCATAAAGGAGCATTTAAAATGCTCAAATGTGACCTAGGTAATTTGTGGAAGTTTAGTGCTTCTGTCAGTTCCTTAAATGTCCACATTGTGTCGCTGTTACACAGAGAATCTAATATTTTGTCAGAGGGGCTGAGCATTAAAATGAGTAAGAATCACAGTGAATGTCTCAAACATCACACATAGACGCATAGAGATGTCTGAGCTGCTGAAGCATTATACACACTGCAGATAAGCGAGAGCTGCAAATCTCCCACTTGCCTGCTTTAACCTGCCTTTATCTCCTTTGTGCTCATTAGTATTCAGAAATTCAATAAAGAGGAAATGTGTTTTAGTTTAATTCACCTCCTCACTGAATGGTGACCTGAATATTCAGCAGGATTCCCTTGGAAGCTCTGTGTCGGCACCTGGTTGACTGCAAATGTTGAAAATGTTTTTCCAGCTCTTAGCCTCAGCCAGAAGTTATCACATTTGCATGGAGGCGAGCGGTGAGCTGTAAAGCTGCTGCTGCTGATGGTCGTTTTTTCATACAATGTCACAAACTGTTTAACAGAAACTGTTAAAAACACATCAATGAAACAAACTTCTGCCTTGCTTTTTCACTATGTACATTTTATCTCCACACGCGCGCGTATCTCACACACACACTCACTCACTCACTCACTCACTCACTCACTCACACACACACACACACACACACACACACATATATATATAAACTTCTCTGATAAATTGCAGGCAAACTATGGATGAAAACCACTGATAAATAAGGCAACACTTAATGGCATGCTACATTTTACATGTTGTGTATCTCAATATTTGTCTTATTTTAAAGCTCAAGCAATCTGGTATCAGAGGAAACGTCTGATCTTGATCCTCTTCCATCACACATTAATAATGTCTGGAGCTAAATGATGATAATATTAATCACATTTCTATCTGCTTCTGTTGGTGATAAGGACTTAGTAATAAGTCAGTGCTAACCCATAGCTATAATTACTTCCTGCACATTTTGATTGGTTTTTGCTAATATCCTGACAGTCAATTAGCTTGCCTTGTATATGTTATGTCCACGATCATTTTTAAACCTCCATAATCCTATTTGAGAGGTTAAGCAGGCTGCCATGGCAACACAAACAAAGCCTAATTTTTGTACTAAATCTGACAACCTTACTGTCTCTTTTC